AAAAAAAAAAAAAAAAAAAAAAAAACATGAATGAGCCGCCGACCGGATCGAATGAAAAAATATTCGTGGAGTTGATGGGACTGAGGGGCCATGAGGATTTAGGGAATTTGAAGCTTATTTGAGAGGGGGTTTAATAGAGACGGGGGCTAATTTAATTTAGAAAAGATGATGGTATCAGTTCTCCGTAAAGAACTAAAGTACAAAGTGGAAAAGCTCAAACACAAGAAGGTTGGAGGTCATGCACCCTAGGATCAGAACCAAATCCGAACTTCCAGAGTTGGTAAATGAACCATTCTGTCTCAGTCCACACGACGTTTTACGGTCGAGATCGATTATACAGTCTATCATTTATTAGGGAAGAATAATTAGGGGAGGGGAGGGGGGCTTAATAGAGGAGGGGGGACTTATTAACTTTCTTCCCCAGAAAAGGGGAGGGGGCTTATTAGAGGGAGGAGTCTTATTAAAGATTGAGAGGGGGACTGAATAGAGGATACGGCATACTTGAACTGATGCAGGACGAAAAATATCTTCTTGAGCATTCTCCATCTATATAATATTGTGATTACTACATACTAAGTAAGTTCAGTAACATCTGTAAACCTGAAAAAGGCTGGTATGGCCAGCAGAAATATTGTTATAAAAAACAATAGACACTGTTTAAATCAGCTTTGCAGTAGTCTTTGGTTCTTGGTTCTTTATATTTTGGCTGATTTGATCTCTTTTCTAGAGATCCAACATTTACAACCAGCAGGATCTTCGTCCACGGTTTTTGCAGTTAATTTAATCGTTTATTATTGTGCAGCAAAACCTTTGCGGTGCTTGAGGCTTCGAATGCGTCGACGATCTGGGGCCTAGGCTTATTTGCGCCCGCAAGGTATGGCGGTAATAATCAAAAATGCGGGAAACGAGAAAATATTCACCACAAGACGGATTGGAGTGTAAAAATACCGAAAATGATGGCTTTTTCCTCTAAATTGCTATAATCAGAAGGTAACCATGGCCCTATCTAGTCCAGAATCACCTGTTCCGCCACGCCGGGTTGTAATAAATCGCACTGAAAACCCGAGCGAGGAGCACGAGGAGCTCAACAAGATGGCGCACGGCGTTGTGGCAGAAAGTCGAAGGTTTGTACCCGTCGTTGGGTTTTCTTTTATGTAGTAAGGTTTCGCTTGGTTGTGTTACTAATGGAGGAAACTTATTTAACTTAGATAACTTACTGAAATTTTAAAATGTGGTTATGCACACGAGCCCAAGCTTAGCTTGATTTATTTCATGGCCATATGCATTGTTTCTGTTTTTTTCAAACCCCACTTTATGGACACCCGCTTAATACGGACACCTCGTTATTACAGACAGTTTGCTTTGTCCATGGGGTAAGAAAACCCTTACATTTTCTCTAAATTCAACCTGCTTATTATGAACACCCCACTAATACGGACATTTTCTATGGCCCCCTCAGTGTCCAGAATAACAGGGTTCGACTGTACTGGTTTCACAACAACAGCAACAACAACAAAAACAATAACAATTTTTATTGTACCTAAAGCAGAATATTATAGTTATTAATTTTACAAGTTGGTAAATAAATCAATTAACTAAAAGGGGTACTGACCTCTTGAAATAACCAATAAGTTCAAAATGCCAAGAAGCCAGATTCAGTAAAATGATTTAAATAAGTTTATTGTGCGGGGTAAAATATGGCAGCATATCAGACTGTATACACATAAACCAGATATACACATATACACTAGCGTGTATAACTGTAAGAAGAGCGAAAAAGCAGGATAGAAGTTACAAAGTACAAGATAATTGGCAATATTAGTACAGCGAAAGATAATGTTATTTTAATTTTGATTTAAATTGAGAAAGAGAAACAGCTTTAATCTTTTCATCAGTTGAGTTCACTGTGAATGTCTGACAACCTTTCTGGTTTGTCTGGCTAAAGTGGTGACCTAGTTGGACATAATTATACCCTTTCTATTTATAGAAAATAAAGTATTTTTAGGCCTGCTATTCCAAACCAACTGTTAACTCACTTTTGTAGCACAATATATGCCATGCCACGTCAAGCTGTTTAAATTCCATGCTTGTTTTGTTTACAGTGAAGATGTCTTCTCAAGCTATGCTTGCAACTCATTAAATCATAAAGGAATTAAACATCATCCGGGGGATATTGTAGAAGCTGGTTGCTTGGCGGTAAGTATGTATACTACATGTTTTTTGAAATGGCTTGAAAATCAAACCAAATTTGTCCCTAGTGTGGTTAAACAAGCATTAGACCTTGTTTGAGTCAGAATTTTCGTTGTTTCCTAGCCTCAACAAAGAGAAGTCATTAAGTCATATTGCCATTCTTATTAGCAAAATTCCTGGATCTCAACAAACTGTGGCCCCGCAATTATATGGGAGAAAAAAATACAACTGTATGACTTTCCTATGATTGCACTTAGGACTTTTCTTTCATCATTCGACAACACAAATCATGAAGTGGTCATTTCTGTCTTGAAAGAAGGACTGTTGAGATCCAGAAATCTTGTTGGTAAAGTGATATCACGCTTTTCTCAATTATTTGTAGGGGACAAAGATGATATATTATCTGAGAACAGTTTATTCTCACAATGTTCAACTGTCTGCGCGATTGATATTTTTGTTTTTTGAAAAGTTGTTTCATTTTGCAGTTTTTACTGATGATTATCTTTTTAAAGTAAATTCACAATAATAATGTATGTTCCCTCTCTTTTCTAGGCACAGCAGCTACCACGAGCTAAATACCAGTTGTTTAAATCGCTTCCACAAGATTTAGTAGAGACAGGTGATGATAATTGACATATTTACTTTGACCAACATCCTGGTTCTGATTCTCTTGCTTCTTCGAGTCTTTGGTACTTCTGGCACTCAAGTTCTCTTAGTTTCCTTTGCTCTGTGGCTCTCTGTTATGCCTGGTTTTCCTGATTCTCATGGTTGGTATTTCTCATGGCTCTTCCTGTTATCCTGGTTCTTGTACATGTAGTTCTCCTGGGTTTTGAGATCCTCCACAGCAAGTACATGAACCAGCCTTTGAGGACTACAAGAACCACAGAAACAGGAGACCAACGAATCATGATGCCAATAAGAAGTAGGAAACCATTTTAAATTCAAGAATCAGAAGAACCCATAAGACCATATTGAGACCTAAAAGAATGATGAAACCAATGAAAAACATGCATGTGCCACTATTCAAATGAGACCTCTTCAACTGTACTTTCACATGGCACCAGACTAAAAAACTAATGGTTTTTTTCCACATTTACATGTAAAAACTCTTTAAAAATGAAACTTGAAATTTTT